GCTTCCCCTGTGCTGTCTTGAATAACTTGTGTTGGTGGGCGGGGCCGCAGTCAGACCTGATGTCTGCCCCCAGCCCACTGCTGGGGCCACAGTCAGACTGGTGTGTACCTTCTCTTCCCCTTTCCTAGGGGTGGGATTCACTGTGGGGTGGCGTGGTCCATCTGGGCTACTTGCATACTGCCAGGCTTGTGGTGCTGAGGATCTGGCATATTAGCTGGGGTGGGTAGGCAAGGTGCACAGGGGCAGGAGGGGCAGTCTCAGCTAGCTTATCCTTTGATGATCTGCTATGGGAGGGGCCCTGCAGCACGTCAGACCCCGCTGCCGCTGCCGGAGGGATGGATCCGCAGAAGGACAGCATTGGGTGTTTCACAGTGCAAGCAAGTTACCTGGCGGGAACTGGTTCCCTTTGGGATTTCGGCTGGGGGGTGGGCGAGGGAGATGGCCCTGGTGAGCGCCTCAGGGGCTCAACAACTCTCCTTCCTGTTTTCCTCCAGCCTTCCAGCTTTCCATGCAGAGCTGTTAACTTATAACCTTCCAGATGTCAAGTCCCTCTTGCTGTCAGAACACACTCCGACTGGCTCCTCCGCTTTTGCCAGCCAGACTTGGGGACTCTGTTTGGCCGGCGGGCCACCCCTCCGCCCCAGCTGCCTCCCGTCAGTCCATGTAGCACGCACCACCTCGCCGCCCTTCCTACCCTCTTCCGTGGGCCTCTTGTCTGTGCTTGGCTCCAGAGAATCCGTTCTACTAGTCCTCTGGCGGTTTTCTGGGTTATTTAGGCAGGTGTAGGTGGAATCTATCTAAGTGATCAGCAGGACACGATGAGCCCAGCGTCCTCCTACACCGCCATCTTCCTGAGCTAAAATTTTTAAAAATAGCTAGGATAATATTTTATGTGGTTTTGACCTATGTTTTATTCTTAAATCGGCTTTAATTTTGTCTTACAGTAAAACTTTTCTGGTTAAGTCAACCTTACAGTTTGTAAAGAAATTCAGCAACTTCACATAAAATTTGTTATCTTGCCAGTAGAGACTATCATAACAAAGTTTTCTGTTCTCTAAGAAAGTTTTTGCTTTTGTATTATCCTCTGTGTAGTATTTAGTGAGTTTTTGGCTTAATATATTCAGGTGTATACATTACAAAGGTATTTTTCATAGAACAACTAGACAGTATCATTTTGAGAGTTCACCGTTTAAACTGTGCTGGTAAACATTTAATTCTTATATTTCCTTTTGAAGAGCTAGCCAGCAGTTATATAAATGCTGGTATTGGTATAGATGGGGATATAGGCTTTGGAAGGAATCTTTTGGTCTAATTTGATCAGTGCTATTATATTTTTATTTTATATTTTATTTTATATTTTTATTTTTAGAGAGCACACAAGAGTGGGGGGAGGGACAGAGTGGGGCAGAGAAAGAGAACCTTAGGTAGGCTCCACCCCTCAGTGCAGAGCCTGATGCAGGACTTGATCCCACAACTCTGGTATCATGACCTGAGCTGAAATCAGGAGTCGGACACTCAACCAACTGAGCCACCCAGGTGCCCCTATTTTTTTCTTTTTTGAATTTGTGTGTTAAAGAGGGTTAAAAGTCAAATGTTCTTCCTCTGCTGTTGATTCTTCATTATATTTAGGAGAGGAAATTGCCTTGTTGTGGGACTAAGGAAATAGGAAAACACAGCTTATAAAGCTATATTTTATGTTTGTGTTATCCTTGGAGCATTCATTTCATTATTTTATTGCTAGTTTCAACAGTAAATACAGCAATTAGTTTGTGTGCCCTGAAGGACCATGGTACTTTAATGATGATGATTGTTTTTTTCCTTTCAGGAGAGAAGCCACAAGTCTTACCGTCCCTTAACAGTATTGACATTTCGCTTAAATTATCTGTTTAGTGAGCTGAAACCAATGTCATATCATCTCCTAAATATGATTTTTCATGCTGTGGTTAGTGTGATATTTCTTAAAGTCTGCAAACTTTTTCTGGACAACAGGAGTAGTGTCATTGCTTCTCTACTTTTTGCAGTGCATCCAATACACACAGAAGCAGTAAGTAAAACTGTGAATCAATTTTTTTCTTTCTTTTTTTTTTTTTTAGCAGAGCCTACATAATGATTATAATGGTATATGTTTTTAAGAAAAAATTTAACTGTGGCTTTAAATCAAATATTTGAAGATTTTTTAATTAGTGTAAGTCTTAACTTTCTAGGCTACATAAAATTTTTAAATTTAAAAGAAGTTTTGAAACAAGCATTTATTATTTAAGGGTATAAGATATAATTGCTCAAGATTAGTAATGTAAAATATAAATGAATATAGGTCTTTTTTGCTAATTTTTTTATGAATATAGATATAAAATATTTGTCAACTTGGCATTGTTGTTTCAAAGGATAGGAAATATTTAGTAAGGCAAATTTAAGTAAAGGATGAAAATATATCAAAATATATGTAAACATAAACACATCCTAACAAATGATGATACCCAGTACTTTCATGTTGTCTCTTGCCATGTGTTTCAAAATTGTTAGCTGTCTCTGCTGTTGCCAATATGTCTGTCAGCCAGTACCTCCTAAGACATACTTAAACTATAACTTTATTTTTCTTGAAAACCGTGAAACCCCAAAACTGCGCACAACAGAGCAAAGAGAACTCTGTTCGATTGCTTTGTTATGAGCTTTTGGTTGTAAGCAAAAAAAATGTGTATGTTTAAACTCCAAGTGTTTGAATGTCTGTGTGTATTAGAAGGGGTGTGTGTGTCTCTCACTGTCTTGAACCTTTTTATGTCTAATTGAACAGATATTTTTCCATATGTTTATAAAAATGATAGGTTGTTTTAAATTCTACAGTGAATTCAAAGTACTTTTTTTTCTTTTTTTAATTTTTTATTTATTTAAAAAAATTTTTTTAAGTGTTTGTTTATTTTTGAGACAGACAGAGCATGAGCCAGGGAGGGGCAGAGAGAGAGGGAGACACAGCATCCGAAGCAGGCTCCAGGCTTGGAGCTGTCAGCACAGAGCCCGATGTGGGGCTTGAACTCATAGACCATGAGATCATGACCTGAGCCAAAGTTGACGCTTAACCAACTGAACCACCCAGGTGTCACGAGAGTACTTTGTTTTTAAGTTTATTTATTTTGAGAGAGAGTATAAGTAGGACAAAGGCAGAGAGAGAATCCTAAGCAGGCTGCACACTGTCAGCAGAGATCATGACCTGAGCCGAAATCAGGGGTCAATGCTTAACTGACTGAGCCCCCTAGGCGCCCCCAAACTTTTTATATACTGGCCTCTTTTTTTTCTTTTTTTTAAGTTTATTTGTTTTGAGAGGGAGAGAGAGAATCCCATGCACGCTCTATGCTGACAGCAGAGATCATGACCTGAGCTGAAATCAGGAGTTAACGCTTAACTGATTCAGGCACTCAGGCATACTTTAAAGGAAGAGGTTTGAGGGTTTTATATTTTAATTTTTTAGAATTTAAAAGGGCTTTTTAAAGTTCATTGTCTTTAGTTTATAAGTTTATTTTGAGATAGACCTTACTGAATTTATGATGTTTTTATATTTTAAGAACACTTGTATTTTAAGAAAATATGTAAGGTCTTAGGTTTTTTGTTTTTTTTAATTAAGACCTACTCTAGATATTGTACTAATATTATATAAGATGTTACTGTTGATGGAAGCTGGGTAAACCGTACACAGGACTTCTCTGTATCTATTTTTGCAACTCCCTGTGGGTCTGTAATTATTTCAAAATAGTGATGATAATAGAACTATTGTAGAGTCACTGGAAAATATATTTTTATGGAAGATACACAGATTCACCACACGAGGGCACTCAAAGAATGTCTAAGAAACTGAAATATGCTTGAAAAATTATGGCAATTTAATTTCTAAAGTGCTGTTCCTATTATATATGGTAGTTAAATTTTCAAGAGGCTCTTCATTAATATGAACTCCTCTCCCTTTCCCTTTTTAGGTAACCGGTGTTGTAGGAAGAGCAGAACTTTTGTCATCTATCTTTTTTCTAGCTGCATTTTTGTCATATACCAAATCAAAAGGACCAGATAATTCCATAGGTAAGTGTCTAACGTTTAATTTTTTTTTCTATAGATATAAAACTTGCTAAGTAATTTTTACTTACTCTATTTGTTATAAAATATATGCCACACTTGGGTTTATCTTTATATATTACTATTTCAGCACGTATGGACATACGAACATGATATGCAACATTGTCAATAGTAAAAATTATTTTTGTATGCAGTTTATATTTTATCATAACTAACAGATTCTGTATTTAATTTAACTTAAAAAATTTACCCTAGAGTATAGGAGTTTTAGAGTCATTCCTAGTTCCATCTGTTGTTACCTATCAAAGATACAAGTACTAATACTTCAGTTGTCTTTCTGTAATAACACCTGTGAAGGCCATGAATTGTATTGTTTAGATAAAGTTGAAAGCCTATTAGAATATAACTTTTATTAGGTGTTGATCATAGTTCAGCTATTTATGGAGTCCCTACCATGTGGCCCACCCTGGAAAATGCTTTGTACACATTAGCTCATTAATCCTAGTTATGCCAGGTATTATCAGAAAACAAGTTCCAGGCAATAAAAATGATTTGTGTGAACAGTAGACCTGAAAGAGGTTTTACATAATAGTAACCTGTATTTGGTTGATCTAAACTTTAACTCTATTTTTTTTTTCCCTACATCATTGGAGAATTTTCTCACTATAAACCCAAAGTACTGATGATAAGGGGCCTAATTTTATATTAACGGAAACTAAGTTTCAACAAATAAGTGATTTAGCCAAACACCTTTAGTGTTGTCTTAGATTTGTAATATAGGTAGGTTTCTATCTCCATTTCCTGGAATGGAGTTCCTGGTATACAGTAGGTGTTCAGTATATACTTGTTGAGCAAATGACCAAGTCAGCGATTAAATTATAATTAAAAAAAGTGCTGAACCTGCTTTGGACCTCTCTCTGTCCAAATAACTCCCATAGTCCTATTCCACATTACATAATTTTATACTTGAGACCATAAACAGATTTGTCATCATCTTTTGTATTCACTATTTAACATATGTGTCCTTGCAAAGGTTTCCAATTTGTAATTATTTGATCACTTTAAATTCTAGGTTATTCATGACCCACACCCATTTTGAAAGCATGATCCACCTCAGGGCCTTTGCTTCTTTCTGTTACTTTGGGTTTCTGCTCAGATGCCATTAGCAGCACCACTCATCTTCCCATTCCTTTCTATTTCCCTTCACCTTCTGTTTTTCTTTATTAACACTTAGATCATCAGTTAACAGATAAATCTTGTTTATATGACTATTATCTTTCTCCTCCACAAAATGTAGTAGATACTTAAAATAACTATTTGAATATATGTGATTGCTAAAGGTTTGTATCTTTATACATGTAAAATTCAGTTTAGAAACCTATATTTTGAAATTGGAATGAATTTTAATGATTGAAATGGATTCTGTATTTATACGTGTATATTTTTAAGTGTTGTTAGTGTATCTAGCAGGGGGATTGTTTTGGACAAAATTACACATGGTTAACTTTAACCCCAGAGATCTATTTATAAAATCAAAGTATGTGTTCATACAGTAATGTAATCACCAAAAATTGAAGAACTGAAGTGACTGGTTTCAATAAAGCTTTTGCCTTTATTAGAGCTGTTAGTTGCTGAGATTGAATCCAGCATTACAGAATGCAGCTGTTTGCTTTCTGTCTTGGAGTGGAATTACAAACTAGGAGAAGCTCTGAATTTAATGTCAGAAGAACCAAGTTAAAGTCCTGATTTCTTTATTGTGCATGACTGTTTTTTGGACCTCTAAAATTCTTTCTTCATCTTAAAAATGCACATGATTACATCTTCCCTTATATCACAGTAGAGTGATTTTGAGACTCAAATAATATATGCTAAACTGGCTATACAAGCCATTTGATATATTGTTTTAAATATCTTTTCAAGGCCGTTATTTCCCACTAATTTTTATTATATTCATACCCTTCCATTCATACTATTCTCTGTATCATTCATTTGCTAACCTTATTCCCTCCTCCTCTCTATGCATGCATACCTCTTCCCCAGTTTTTCTATGTATATATCTTCAAGGTTCAACTTTAGGTTCAGCTTGTTTTGTAAATAATCATCTACTGATTTCTTTCCTGTATGAATTTCTTATGGAATTTAGCATTATGTTTCATTCCTTGGTATAATGTACTTTTGTATTGATGGTTTTGATCTGACTAGAATATGAGATTTTTTTTTTTTTTTTTTTTTTTTTTTTTTTTTTTTTTTTTTTTTTTTTTTTTTTTTTTTAGGAAAGGAATACTGTTTTACTGGGTATCTCCAATAGTATTTGAAGGTTTTTTGTTTTTCTTTCAGTAATTTTAATCAGTAGAGTATTTTAAAGTTGAAAACAATTTCAAAAATAAATGAATTTCTGGAGTAAGCCCAACAACAAAAGAGGATATATCAAACTCATGAATTATTTTTCTATTTATACTTGGATTTAAGTCAATTATTTGAGATTTTGCTCTGATTAATGTTCTTAATAAATAAACCTGAGGTCACACAATTATACTGCAATATGCTTTTTTAACTTGAAAAGAATTGGAGGTCATATTTTACAGTAGGAAAACTTAAGCTCAGAAAACTTGTTCAAAGTCATAAAGCAAGTTAGTAGATATGGAATTATTCTCAAAATTCATTCTTCTTGAATCAAATTATTACTACTAACTAGTTGTTATTGCTTAAAGTTGATGAAGTAGGTTTTCTATTTAAGTAGGACTTATGAATATTCTATTGATAGTATTTTTAAGTATATATATATATATATATATATATATGTACATATATATGTATGTGTATATATATCCTGAGAGAGAGTGCAAGAAGGGGAGGGGCAGAG